TTCAAATCCGAAAACTAAAAACTACAAAAAAGTACTTAGGCCTTCATTTAGTTCCACTTTCACGCGACGTTCAATGTTTCAATTTGCTCTTTACGTATTGTTCAGGCTATAAATAGGCCCTTTTCAAAAGTTACGCGAGAAATACGCACAATAGTCGCCTACCTCGCAAAACTGGTTCCAAACGACAACAAAGGCATAAGCAACGATGGATTGTTGAACTTTGCTGGCTGGTGTAGCGTACAGCAAAAAAAAAATGAAATATGCAATATACAAAATGCCAATGGTATGAATGTATCTATATATAACTTGGAAATGACGTACAATCAAGTAAACCCAGAATCGTGCGCGGCAGTGCGCTCTACACTCTAAGTTACCTTTTTTTACATTTACCGCAAATTTGATATTTTACCCATTGAGTGTTGATTAGTCACAATGAAACATTGTGACAGAAGTTAAGGTTACTAGTGTATTAAATAATCTAGGTCCTATTTAGGATTATATCTGAAAAATCCAAATCTGGCCAACGCCCACCCTAAACCTAAACCTGTTCTAATCCACCTGACATGACTAACGAATGGAAGACTTTGACTACCCAGCCATGCAATAGTCTCATTCCGTGCCTTATGGCAACTTGATGATTCTATTGCGCTCATCTTCTGGCACCACCCAGGGGAGACTTGGTCCTGTACCCAATGCTTAACTTATCTCCATTCCACTCAGCTACTCGCAATTTCTTGTGATATAGTGGGCGGAATATTATTATATGAGACAATTCAATGCAGACGTCTTTCCAAATTTGGCAGATCGACAGGTAGTCGGTGAGTTACCACGATAGGTGCTATTCAACAACTCGACAACGTCCCATCATCAACGCCTGCTATGAGAATTTCCCATTGCAGACGCCAACGAAATGACGTCATCGAGCTATCGATCAACTACCCTGGTTATCGCCTGGTACCTTATAGCACGATGCTAGGAGGCGAACCGGAAGAATCGATGAGCTACCTCTCCCCCTCTTCCGTGTGGAAAAATACCAGATCTTAGTAACCAACTATCAAATATACTCCAGAGCGTCGAGGGTCCCATTCTGGTACTAGGGGACATGAACGGCCACCATCCCGCTTGGGGCAGCCCAATTGCAAATACCAGAGGCTCCACTCTGATGGAAGTGGCCAGAAAACTGGATCTTGTCGTTCTCAATGATGGAGGCACCACATATACCAGTGGTCAGAGAGCAACATCTATAGATGTGTCCCTTGCTAGCGCCAACATAAACAGCAGACTCCTCTGGAGCACCGAGGAAGATCCCATGGGTAGTGATCATCACTGGGTGATGATCACTACCCATGGGATCTTCCTCGGTGCTCCAGAGGAGTCTGCTGTTTATGTTGGCGCTAGCAAGGGACACATCTATAGATGTTGCTCTCTGACCACTGGTATATGTGGTGCCTCCATCATTGACTTGACGACCAACCATGGCTGACTGGTCACTTTTCCAGGAGACTATAAGAGTTAATTTTACCAACTCGACACCGGACAATATCCAGGATTTCATCAGCTCTGTCTACCAAGTGGCAACCACATCAATCGCGCGGACAAATCCCATCCCGGGAACCAGGTCATTACCATGGTGGTCTCCTGAGACAAAAGTTGCTGTTAAGGCTAAACGACTGCCGCGGACCACCCCTTGAAGGAAGCGGCACAAACTGAATACAGAGCTAAACGGAACGAGTGAAGACAGACCATCCGTACCGCCAAAAGCTTGAGCTGGGAGAATTTCATCGACGGTATTAACGCTGGACAGACGGCTTCTGACCTATGGGGTAAAGTCAATGCGTTGAGCGGTAAGCGAAAGTACCGTGGCATGACTATTCGAATAGACGGCTTAATAACCAGAGACCCCGACAAAATTGCACATGCTATGGGGGAGTACTTTGCAACTCTTTCGGCTCTTGAAGGATATGATGACCATTTCCGTCGCACAAAAAATGCGACAACGCATTCGCTGAATAATTTTCACATCCCGGAGGACGATCTACCACTGGAAATTAACCAACCTTTCGGACCAAGAGAGCTTGACTTAGCCTTGTTCAAGGCTCACGGCAAATCAGCTGGCCCGGATGAAGTGGGATACATTTGTTAAAAAATCTGCCACTGGAAAGCAAACGTACCCTTCTCAGCCTCCTCAACAGCGAGTGGCTAGGAAATACTATTCCGGAAGAATGGAGGCACAGTCTAGTTGACCCAATTCCTAAGCAGGGAGCTGCGAGTCGCGAGCCAAAGGATTTCAGACCAATCTCTTTGACATGCTGTGTCAGCAAGGTGCTGGAGCGGATGGTCAATCGTAGACTCGTGCTCTACTTGGAGAGTAACGGCTACATTGACCATCGCCAGCACGCCAGCGCACATGGCACTGGGACATACTTCGCCACACTTAATCAGGTACTTCGGAACGCGAGGGATGCCGACCAGCATGTGAAGCTAGCCACTTTAGACATCGCCAAGGCATACAATCGGACATGGACGCCTGACATGCTTGTCCAACTTGCGGAATGGGGTCTGTCCGGCTACATTATCCATTTTATGAAGAACTTTCTTCAACATCGTACTTTTCAAGTATGTATTGGCAACTATAGATCCAGATGTTTCCCGGAGGAGACAGGCGTCCCACAAGGCTCTGTGATCGCAGTCGCGCTGTTTTTAATACGGATGAACGGTGTTTTCAACAATCTTCCCAAGGAAATATACATTTTTGTGTATGCAGACGACATAGTAGTTGTAGTTGCAGTAGTTGGCAGCACCGTGGACTAAATCCGTTGGATTCCACCTTTCTAGAGTTGGTATTGGAATTACCGATCCGGAGCTGAGCACCTTCTACCGACTACCAGACCCATGCAGCGTTTTCACTGCTGAAGCAGCCGCCATTCTCGTCGCTGTCACCCTACCCTCGAACAAACCTATCGTCATATTCTCCGACTCTGCCAGTGTTTTAGCAGCTCTTCAGTGTGACACAGCTAAACACCCCTGGATCCAGGGTATCTAGCAGTTCGCTCCTAAGGAAACAACCTTTGTCTGGGTCCCCGGACACTGTGGGATCAGAGGTAATGAGGAAGCCGACCACCTGGCGGCATCCGGAAGACAGTCCAACTTTTACACCAGAAAGGTTCCGGCCCAGGACATAAAGCGGTGGATCACAATCACTATATAGAACTGCTGGACTAACGAATGGATGCGATCTCGAGACTTATTTACCTGGAAGGTAAAAGGGGATACCAAGAAATGGGAGGATCCACCTGAACACCGACTTCAAGTCATTCTATCCCGGTTGAGAACCGGCCATACCAAAGTCTCCCACAACATGGGAGGCGGAGGCGGATTCAGACGACAGTGCGATACGTGCAATGTTCCACTTACAGTGGAGCATTTCTTATGCGAATGCCCCCAGTACCACGGACCCCGTCCCCTTTACGGGATCTCAGGTAGCATCAGGAATGCCCTGAGGGATGACTCATCCAGCATCGCTGCACTTTTCTGCTTCCTTCAGGATGCAGGTCTGATTAACCAAATTTGATCTATGAACACCTAAGCAACGACAACGGACAATGATCCGGACTCAAAACTATACCTCGGCAACAAATACTGACTCGGACACGGATGAACGAAGATATTGAACAAAGCAAAGCACATACAAGGACACGGAAATGGACAAATGACGGCACTAACATTAAACACAGCGACTACAAAGGAACAGGACACGGAACTTGACCACTTGACCACGATTATTCAAAAGGACAGTAACATCGGTAGCATTAAAGGAAAATTCCCAACTCTGAAATATTAAAACTCTGTTATTATGGGGACTCCCTTCTGGAGCTCCCGCCCATCTCCTAACTCCGTATCCTCGGGGTTCTCTTCTGGAACCTCACCTCCCCTTCCTATTAGCTCTGTAATTAGGGGGACTCCCTTCTGAAGATATGAACCACACCCCTCGTTTTTTAAGAGATGAACCAGCCCAAGGCTGAAAATCTCTCTAATAAAGCAAAAAAAAAAATGAACTAGCCAACGGCTAAAAATCTCTATAATAAAGTTTAAAAAAAAACTTAAGTCTTCTGACGACTACAATATAAATTAAAAACAAAGAATTTCGAGGACAGATCAAGAGAAATGGGCCTCCCTTAGCTCAGTCGATAAAGGCGCAGCTACAAAGCAAGACCATGCTGGAGGTGGCTGGGTTCAATTCCCGGTCCGGTCTTGGAAAATTTCTCGACTTCCCTGGGCATAGAGTATGATTGGACTTGCCACACAATTATACCAATGCAAAAATGGTACAGGCATCGAAAGCTCTCAATTAATAACTGTGGAAGTGCATCTAGAACACTAAGTTGAGAGCACGCAATAAGCTTGAAATGCGAAGAAGAAGAAGAATATCTGGCTAGAGAACTTTGCATCTGCATTCCGGTGTAGCCGCAAAAAAAACGGAACAACTGGAGCTGATGGTGAAATTCCTTTCGGTCCCTATTTTCAACCGTAGAAAGAAACAGTTGTGCCACACGCGGCAAAGGGCGTGGGTTGCACAAAGTCATTACTTTCCCAATATTTATGGACTAAATGAAAAATGAAAAACGGAGAAGGCATGTGTTTACGACATCTCTCCCCTTGGACTGAGTGGGCACATGGACAGGCAGATATTGACCTAGATCGCACAGCAGCGCACCGATCCGACCGAGTGTAGAACAGAAATCCTACACACGTCGCTGCGTTGTTCGATGAGCTTCTTCTGGTTGTTGTTGTTGCTGCTGCTGCTGCTGAGAGAGCGTTGGAATGAAAGAAAGTTTCTAAATATAACCTCTACACTTTGCTTTCTTGGGTGCGGCGGTCATTTGCCGGCACACCACAAGAACATGCATTTTTCTTCGGTGTCGCAATCGTCTCCATTTTAGGGTTTGGAAATTATTCCGGGCTGCGTTTCTGGATGAAGTGAGTTTCTGATACGGTTTGGGTTTTGGATTAAGTTCACTACACAGCTCTAATGCTTCTTTATTACATACATACTTTTAAAAGGTAGAGCAGATAAACACATACAAAAAACGTTTGCATTAATCACCACAGCAGTACAGTACAGGCTCTCTTAAGATCAAATCAAATAAATTCAAAATTGCCTCTTAGTCGCCGAACAGCTTCTTGCCCAGTTCCATCATCCGATGGTTCCGGCAAACCTTGAGGGCGTCAGCCTTCTTCAGCACTGCGGCGACCGAAGAATTGGCATCGACCAGCTGCGACAGGAAATCCTCGTAGGCCAGTTTGACATTCGGCGGCAGGGTTCCGATTTTCACCTTCCGCAAGGTCTCGATGATGCCCTCGGCCCAACCGGATTCGATGGCAAACTCGGAAATCCACGGGATCAGTTTGATGATTCCGCTCATGGTCTGCATTCCCAGGAACCAAAGCTCCATGATTTCGAACCAGTACTCTTTGTATGCCAGCGAGACGACGAGTGCCTGTGGATCATTGGATTCATCGATGTTGTAGGCATCCCAGAGGAATCGGATCGTGGCTTGGATGTAGCGGCAGATGGAGAAATCGTTCTTTTTGACATTGGAGCATTGTTGTTTCAGCAGGAGCAATCCGAGAACGGCGAGGTGACCGTGCATGACCAGGTTATCTGGGGTGTCCTTAAGTTCCGGGAGATTGTCGAAAATGAAACGGATCAACTGGGCGAAGACGGTGCTTTCTTCGACCAACTTTGGCTCCAGCACGGTGATGTTCATGAAGATGTTGCACAGAGAGATGATAGCCGTTCGGGAATCTTTCATTTCATCCATTTGGAAGGTAGTCAATTCCGGGTCGGGTTCGTTCATACGCTTGAGACGTTCAGCGCGAGGAATCGGGGGCTTCTTGTAGTGGGCGATAGACCAATGGAAAACCAGACAGTCGTAGAGGACTTGTTCTTCTTTTTCTTTGAGGAAAATTTTACGAGCGTCCTCCTCGACAACAATATGGCAAATTGCCGGGAGCGTTACGCGAAGGACATCTGCCGGAGCTTGTTCCGCTGTTGGTTCGGTCTTGGCTTTGATACGATGATCACGAGAAGCGTAGAAGGACTCGTTTGCCAACTTGAAGATGAATGGGAGCAATTTGAAAACTTGTCCTTTCAGGGCAGAAGTCTCCTGGGAAAGCCAAGCGCTGACCACTCGGATTATTGCACAAGCAAAGGCCTTCTCTTTCGGCTGCAGTTTGTCCTTCCTGGTGTCGTTCGAGAGTTTGGTTAAAACGGACAACACTCCCGTAAAGGCTCCCTTCAAGCCGGTGTATACTTGCTGCTTGTCCTTCTGATCCAAGTCCAACTGATCAGTAGACATGTAATTCATCGATAGCTCCAAAATGATGAAACAAGCCGTGACGAGGTCGGCCTGACCCATAACCTGATTGAAGCTCTTGTTATCCGTTTGCATGCGCACTTCGATCGCGGCCAGCTGCAACAGGAGCAGGAAGAACTTTTTCGGATTTTCCGAATCGTGTAGCGTCCACTCAATACCCAGGATTTCCAATACATTAGCCGTCAGTTTTAGCGTTGGATCACGCTGCGCCTTTCCGATCTTACTCGTCAGTACATCGCTGACTCCTTTGTACAAACACTCGGGCCAAATCTCGCCCTCAACCGTACTGGAAATCAATTCACGCCGACACGTGGACAGCAGTACGGCAATCATCTCCGCCAGTTCAAACTTCCTCTCAGCATGATCCGTTTCGAAGTCCAACGAGACTCGCTGCATCAGGGCGTGGAACAGCTTTGGATCCTCTCCCCAGGACGAAGGTCCAAAGTGACTGACCAACGTCACAATAAGGGTCAAAGCCTCGTCGATTTGAAAACTCTGCTCGGTGTAAACCTGCGCCATCTTCCTGACCACATCCAGCTCTCTCAATGCCTGCCGTCCCTTCTCATGAGTGGCAATGCTCTGCAGGCAATGGTACGCCTCGTTAATCACAATCAAATTATCATCGTACTCTTCATCGTCGCACGTCGAAACGATACCCAGGAACACCGGAATGCTGTCCAGCATGTCCTTGTGTGTGGCCAGTTGCTCATCCTCGCAGAAGCAACTCAAAATCGACAGTGCCACACTCTGGTAGGCCGACGCATCCGGAACATCCTTGCTCGTCAGCAGCCGCCTCACAAAGTCCAGTCCGATCGAATCGAACAGTAGCCGTTTCCCGGCCTCGTTGCAATCCTTCCCTTTGATCAGCTTCGTCACCATAAACAGTGCGGCGAACTTTTCCGTGTCGCTTTTTGCGTTTTTCAGTATGATGGAACACTTCCGGATTGGGTCGCTTATTTGGTCCGACATCTTTTCGCCTTATATGGTACTTTTCTACTTTTCTAACCAAGTCGCACACGCGCAATGTTGCGAAATTTGCTCTGGGGGGTCCGAACGGTCCCGTTGTCGAATCTCAACTGATCAAGGCGGGAGCATGTTCCCGAAAATCTGGGTTCGACTTTTCTCCCGTTCTCGGAAAATTGGCTTTTCACACACAAACAAACACCGGTGTGCGATGTGCGGATGTGTGTATTTTCGTGCGCTCTCTGCTCTTTCAGAGTTTTCCGATTATTTTTGGAAAAAAACGAACACCGATGCCGGTCGATCTGACTTCAAATGTTGCGACACAAATGACCTGATTTGGATTATGGAAATTGAGTTGGACTCTACAACGCAATGAAAAATTATATTTACCTTAGTTTAAATTGAAAATGCTTCTTAAAATCGCATTAAGCTTAAACAAGCACAGGAGAAAATTAATTTTCGTTGCTGACAGACGACATCCGCGCCATGCATGATTTTGTTTTGATTCGAATTTCCTCTTTTCTTTTGCGTCTTGACAGTACTTCCCATGTTTCGTTTCACCGCGCGCACACACACACAGACAGACGAGGACCCGACTGATTTCCCTTTAAATATTATCAAACAGCTGATGATGCAGACCCATCATCCCAGGGAAAAAATCATCATCATCATCATCAAGATTCTTTTCGTCGTGTGGTGCTGAACAAATTCTAGAGCAACATGTAAAAACGGTCTATGCTACAAATGAAAACGACGACTTTTAACGTCGATTTTTTCGCAAATAAGGACTCATTCAGTTTGCGTGGGAGTGTTGTGATTGGTGAGCAATCGGTGATTAAAGCATTTGTTTACGTTTGGCTCATAGGCCGTTTTCATATGTTGCTCGATTTGCTCATAATAATAATTATTTGGCACGTGCCGAGCATGAAGAGGAACGTGAAAATGGAAATAGATGCCAGCGTAAAAATCGAATGCGGAGTAAATTGGCTACACGGCCAATCATACCAACTCAGCGACTGAGAATAATTGACTCAGAGAATTTTCTTTCCATACGAAATTTACTCAGATTTGGAAGAAACTGCAGTTACTCATAAGCTATGAGTAACTGCAGTTTCTTCCAAATCTGAGTAAATTTCGTATGGGAAGAAAATTCTCTGAGTCAATTATTCTCAGTCGCTGAGTTGGTATGATTGGCCGTGTACATATCACAAAATGTATGGAATTCAGTCTGTCAAAAGGAGTTTTAATGAATTGAACTGAAAATTGAAGCTCTAAAGATTCAAAATTCCAGTAGAAGTTAGATTTCGGAAGCTCACGGGTTTTCAAGTCTTCCCGGAATCGAACGACTTTAGGGGACGGGAGAATTGAGAGACATGCAAGTTCGCCGTCAAAACTTACATTGAGCTTGAAGATCTTTGGGAGGCCGTCAAATCCGAGAGGAAAGCGGACGGAGCTTTCGAGGAAGTCAACGCCACGAAAAACCGAAAAGCAAGAGCGAAGATAGTTCTGTTGCTGGATCCTACGAACTATGTTCATATGAAGGAAGCGACAACAGCGAAGGAAGTCTGGGACAACCTGGAGAAAGCGTTTGAAGATTCCGGGCGAGTAGGACTGCTGCGGAAACTGGTGAAGACTGACTTTGCAAGCATATTTGGCATGCACAGTAGACTGATGCAAAATTTGAAATTTTCGCTCCACAGTGCTCAAACGGTTTCAAATCAGGTCCTGATTAGCCTTCCCAAATTTAAACTCATTTGGTAAGAAACTGACTTGGCACAAACTATTTGAAGTTTATATGCAAATTACTATGGGAAAACCAAACTTTTTGTTCATTGTCTTCTACCCATTTTCCATATTGCTTTTTCGAAAATTTCTGCTTTTTTGGGAAATTTTCTAAGCTACAACTTTGCGAAATATCGTTTATCAGCCAAATGTTAAATTAAATTGTTATTAATTGTTTAAGACATTGATAATCTTATGGAATGATCAAGCAGCTGTTCTGTGGGCAACACTGTATTCTGCAGTGTGACATAGTAGCCATGATATTTGTGCTCTATTCTTCGGACCAGAAATACCAATGTTGCCTGCTGAACAGTTGAATGAGCATAATCATAAGACATCAGTGACTTGAATCATTATCAAGTTGTAGCTGAGAAAATTGGCTACAATCACTGTTATCATTTATAAAAGCATAGTGATGTGGTGAATTGTTAGATAGATAAGAACAAAAACATAAGTTTTCCCATAGTAATTCCCATATATACTTGAAATGGTTTGTGCCAAGTCAGTTTCTTACTAAAGTAGTTCAAATTTTGGGAGGCTAAGCAGGACCCAATTTGGAACCGTTTAAGTACTGTGGACCGAAAATTCCAAATTTTGCATCAGTCTAATGTACAGTTGTACACACCAACTGCTCATTTGTTAATAACTTTTCACTCAGTTGTTGAAATTAGTTTTTCTTTAAAGTGTTAGATAAGTTACTAGCAAATGAGCAGTTCGTGACCAAAACTGCGTATGCCAAGCATGCTTGCAAGGTGTTCGTCAATGTCGGAATACGTGTATCAAGTTATTTCGACGACTCATTAGTATAACGGAATTTGGATTCAAGATTGGGTTGGCGCATTTGCTGCTATGTGGTCTACCAGATGAGTACAGGCCAATGATTATGGCTCTGGAAAACTCCGGAACACCGGTAACAGAAGATGCTATCAAGAGCAAGCTACTTCCGAAGCTGCAGGCATCTTCGTCGGATTCAACAGGCAGCAGAAAACGTTCAAGAAACCCAAGACGGAATCAAAAGGTCCGAAGTGCAGGAAGTATAAGAAATACGGCCACATCGCAAAGGACTGTAGAAGTTCGAAGGAAGAAGTTTTTGCACTGTGTTGTCACTGATTGAGTCAAACAGCAGTATCGATTGGTTTTTCGACTCCGGAGCAACAGTCCACATGAATCACAATAAGGCGCTGTTGAAGGATCTGAAGCGGTAATGTTGTTGCGGCAATCAAGGGCAATATGAGCATTGAAGCTATCGGAAAAACCCTTCTGAGGCCACATTGTCGGGAAAGCAGTTTTGGACTTCAAGTCAACGAGGTACGATAATTCCTTCAGTTATCAGTGAATCTCCTTTCCGTCAATATGATTATGAAGAACCGATACACCATGGTTTTTGCAAACGACGGTTGTAGAGTGCTGAATGCGAGTGGCGATGTAGTGGCAACAGGTGAATGATTTGTTTAGGCTGGACCAGCACAACATACGCGACAAGGCACTGGCATGCTCATCAGCTGTTTCCCTGGATATCTGGCATAGACGAATGGGCCATCTGAATTTGGCGGGATTAGCTGGAGCTGAGTGAAAAGACTGACAGCGATTGCAACGATGGGAAAACACAGTCGGCAACCATTCAACAAGAATGGCTCCCGTGCATCTGAAGTGTTGGAGGTCGTACACTCGGATTGTATTTGTGGATGACAAGTCAAGACGGATGTTTGTCTATATTCTCTGCGCTCAAAGTCTATTACAATACCTCCATCAACCATGTCAAATTCAAAGGAGAAACATTGATGTTCAATAATTCGGTCGTACTTCTGGATAAACATTTCAAAAGGTCCTATCTGCATTGATCGATACGCTTTCGTTAATAATTCAGCTGCAAAATCTTTCCCTTTATTGTCAATGGGGGTAACGCCTAAAGGTATGCAACGATTCATATAAAACAACTGCTGCGTATATTTTCCTCCCGTGGTTGACCGATTCAATAAAATAACTGATACCGTGAGTACAAGTATCAGAGTTGCGACCTATCACAATCACGATCGTCAAACAGCTGATGGTAGTAACACTTTGTACATTCCTATTAATGTGCTTGTCGAAGCACTCTCCATGACCATCCATCAAGTTGACGAAAGAAGTAAAAAGCAACTGGTGAATGTCGTCTTCGGCGGTAATCCATCATCGATCTGGTCATTCCCGGCAATCACGACACGTTTTGAAGCAGTTGCTACTTTGCTTGCTTATGTGAGTGTGTTGGTGAGTGATCCCAACAGCTTCCGTTTAATTTTGCCAGCTCTGTTTGTTACTAACACAGTCGCGCGTGCCGAGACAAACTTGGAATGCGTAGGCATTGTTTTCATCTGTCGTTTAGCTTTTCTCATCATCGTACCATAGAGGTATAACTCTAAGACTAGTAGGTCCCGAAGAAACGTGCTCAACTTTTTGGCTCAGCTCTGGTACTATCTTCGGTCCCAAGCTAATCGATGCACCCCTCGAAACATGGGAAAATCCACGAACCCCTCATTTTATCTGTCAAACTTTCATACACGCTTATTCTGGTCAACTCAAAATTGAGTCGAAGGTACTCATCTCAGCGGCAAGTAGGGCTACTCAAAATTGAGTAGCCTTATGTTGCTTCACTTTTGAGTAAACGACGTTCTCACGTAGACTGAGTCAAATCCACTCGCCGGTATTTCCAGTTGCGGGGAGGGTTTTTGTTTTGATTTTTATTCAAGGAAATTGAAATTGCCTGCTCCGGATTCATTCTACCGGAACAGAAAATGGTTCAACACCGTTTCCCTAAGCAATTCGTACTTACCTGAAGGCATTTCAGTCGTTTTTAAGTAACTTTTTCTATGAGGTTACCTCTGAAATGACTGGCATTTTTTCCAAGTCCAGGATTTTGCTGAGTGGCTTTTACTCAGTTTGACATTTCTCGTTTACTCAATTTTTGACAACTCGCTACATCGGACGAAAGTGAGTACGATCGACTCACCTGGTGAGTAAGCAGAAGTTAGCGTGTAGAGAATCAAAAAAAAACATAGTGTAGTACTGGGTGTAGTACTAGAATTCCAACTAGAATGGGATACGTTAATCGTTTGCTTGGGACCAATAGGCTAGTCAAGTAGTGAGCCAATTTCAAATCGATAGTTTCGTATTGATTGTTGATCGTACTGCAGAAGTCTTCACTATTTTCGTTGTGCTTTACATCATCAGCAGCGAGTGTTACGTTTTGCCTGTGAGCAGCGAACAGTACTGGTTATTGTTTGCCATGGCTATACCTCTCACTGCGTGACAAATCGTTCTGTCAACGATAGTCGGTTGATGCGTTGACGAGTGTCGAGTGAGTGTCATGATATTTTACATCACTGACAAGTATTAATCAGCCCAGTAGCAGGCGCGTAGGCAACATGTTATACAGTGACAGAGGGCCCAGCACAGCAAAATAAATGATTTGAGCCCGGTACATGCTGCCTACTGTCAAACGCTGCTGTTGGTATACGCCTTGTCACTGGCCTGGTATTAATAGATTGAACA